ATGCTGTGCTGTGTTTATTTAAAGGATTATTGTCTGAATGTTCAAACAACTTTTACTGATAAATCCAACTTCATCATTTCAACATCTTCTCTAACCAAAGTAGAGGAATCATAAGAAAAACGACAGAACTATAGTGAGCATTTATTTGTCAAAAGGGCCATAGAGCACACAGAAGTATAAGAATCAGGAAAACACTGGAAAGTTGTGTTATGAATCTTTAATGGCTCAATGAAAGAAAAACGTAGAAAATATTTTAATACACGTAATGTAAGCTTTGTTCCATAATGACACGTTTAGTGTTAATGAATCATGACATTTTAATACATTTACATCTACACTTCAGTGGCTTACCTCGTGTTCCCAGTCAGATTGGCGATAACTAAAAGGTCATTCATCAGATTAGAGAGTCTCGCTGGTTTTTGTGTCATATTTTCAACAACTAAATCATTTATCAAGCTTTAGATATGCATACCATATTTTTTATTTAAAGGTCATTTTTTCCCACTTATCTCTAGAATCTTTATTTCTCTCCCCCCTGCTGCTGTAGCCAGACTCGGACCCCTCCGCCCCCAGCCAGTGTGATCAAGATGCAATCTGAACTGCGTCTAAATTCACGCCGCCAGTGTGCGTCTGCTGTCGGTTAGAGGCAAAGGAGCAGGGGGAGGGTGACAGGAGGAGAAATAAATAACGGCATCATCAGCATATTGTGACGCTATTCCTTGTGACGGTCGGATGAAATCTGGGACACAGTTGCATTCATCGTTCAGTGAGCTCTACCACACAGTTAAACCCACCGACAGCAATGAATGTTGATTGTGACCTTTGCTGTGGTTTGGAAGTTGAGTTTTTTTTTTAGCGTTTGTTGTTGAGACAATGTTCTTCTTCGTGTGATTGTTCAAGGAGTCGTCGGCCTTGACTGCAATGCAGGTTTCTGCATGCGTTTGACTTCTTTCCTTTACCAGACACCCGTGGACAAAGGCTGGCCACAGGGCACAATCAACGGTCGATGGTTTTTTCAATTTAGATGAAACTCACCGACAGCGTTGAATGTTCACTGTTGCGAGCACAGACCTGATGGTGACCAGAGATGATGGCAGAGGGGGTAAAGTCTGTGGGCGAGGAGGCTTCACACTAAATCCCATTTTCCATTCTCTGACCAAGGACACTAAAAGGACTCATGAGCGTTAAACGTGGAACAATAATCCCCTTTGCTCTTTTTATTAGAGGTCTTACTTTTATTTTTTAATTTCCAGCTGTTGTAAAATGTATATATCCAAACACACATAATCCTTATTTCAGAAGTGATGGCCATTCACACACTGTACCTGAGGATAAGAGACAGAATAATTACACTATACATTAAATGCAATTTATTATTAAAACAACTGCTCCCTGTGCTCTCCACTAAACCATAGCCTTTGTAAAAAAGAAGCAGAACTGCCTGTGACCCACCTTCTCATAAATCGCGACAATGAATGAGCGTCGTTTGCAGTAACCTCCATGACACATGGCCATTTTGACACCACAGATGCTGCTGCTGTATGGGAACTCATTTTATTTCCGTACAAGTAGCAGTTGGAGGAGTGGGAGTCATCTTGAAACTCAAGACTCATTGCGGGTTTTAGTAAACACAGCACCTGGGTGAGGCTGTCGCCAGAAGTCAGCTGCCGTTTTGAAGCACAGCTGCACAGCGTGGCCTCCAGAGAGGCGCTGGCGTGCCCCTGGGGCTTCCTGCAAGGTGGAGGATGAGGAAGATGCTGGGTATGAAACTGCAGACTCACCCCAATCAATGGCGTCTGTTGTTTTCACTATGATGTGGCACTGTGGCTTTTTTTTCTCTCTCGCTGTGCTATTACCAGTAAAGAAACTGTCCACCATCTTGCATGAAAGATTTTATTACACCGTGCTGATTCACTGTTGCTCATGATGAGAGCGCGATGAGTAACAAAGTGTGTGAGACGCACAACAATCAAATGCCACAGGGCTGCTGCTGCTGCAATTATATAGATACGATGTGACAGTAAAGCTGTGGCAGTGAGTCAAGATGTGGCCGGATGATAAATGTGGTGTTGGGACTCTTTCAGCCGGCAGGATCAGGGGCCACTAAGACGATGTGGTGATATCTCCTGACTCTTCTCACAGAAAGCTCAGAGTTAAAAATAACACTCTGACTATAAAGCCGCATCACATTAAGTAGTAATCGCTGAAGAATTTAAAACTTTTCCACCACATAGACTGACAGCGAACAATGTGCTGCTTCTCTTTTCTCCTTTGGATCACAAGAGCCGCCTCGACTTTTCTCATTTCCTGTGTATCTCACTTAATATATCCTGTAAGCTTGTCACTAGTGAGCAAGAGCAAAAACTATATTAGAACCCCAAATACTTCACTCACAAATGAAACATTTTGCCGACTGCCGACGCATCTCCCGTGCCTGGACCGAAAAAGCACAGTCCTTGCTGCGAGGGACACCGCTAACTCAGCGGCTTGTCTCTCCCCCTCCATTCTCCCGCACGGTGATTTGAGTGACAGTGTTGGAATTGACAGAAGTGGATGAGAAGGAATGTTGCTTTATAAAGGTCTTCTGTGGCCCGCAGGAGGAGGGTGACAGTGGGAAGAAAGATCCGGGACACGCAATGCGCAGAGAGAGAAGAGCCCTGAGCTGACAATGTGGCCTTAATCTGAATGACAAGGTCTGCACATCAGCCCTCAAACCAGCCTGGGTTTGGAGGGAGGGAGGGAGGAGGGGGTGAGAGAGCTGAAGGGAGAMAGGAGGGGAAKGAGAAGGGAGGGGGAGGGCGGATGAGGGTGTCCTTCCTTCAAACATGTTGGCCTTAATGGCACGGACAGCTCTGACATTTAACCACTGAATCATTTTTAGATAAGTGGATGTGGTGCGGAGGGCTGTGACTTGTAAAAATTTCAGGAGGCGTTTTTCAGGCTGAAGAAAGAAAAAAAAAAAAAGCGTTGAAAAAGACCAGAACAAAACCTCCGCTGGGGATCACACAGCACAGTTCCTAATGAGAGGAGCGAGCCCCAGGTTAAGAACGAGGGCAGATTATAGGGGAGAGAAGCGAGATCCTGAAATTTATTGTTGGACTAGTTTGGAAAATTTGTACGGAAGTGAACTGATAGTTAATTTCTCTTATACAGCAACACAACCAACTTGTACAGAAGTGAATCAATGAATCTGCTCTTTTGAGTAACAGACAACAGTCCGGGTCACTTCCAGAGGAGGAATCACTATAAGCGTGATGCAGGACACTACAGGTAAAGGCCACATACGCTGAAAGAGAAAAGCTATACAAAAAAAATAAAATGCCAAAGCTGCCCCGAACAACATTCACAATAGAAAACAAGCCGGACAAGTTTGCGTAAACAGATCCTGTCAAAACAGCCTCATAATTCCGGAGAGACATCACACAGGAGGTGATCGGATTACTCCAAAATAACAAAAGAGCCGCCTGCGCTCGATATCACAGTAGCGTGTGAATGAGTTGTTCGTCTTTAATGTCAGAGGATTTCCTTTCATCAGCGCAGGTAAAGGAGAAGGTTGGACTCAAAATGTGACGCAAGAACTTTTTTTTTCTCCCCTTCATCTCTTCCGCCTCGCTGCCCTCAGCTGAAACTTTGTGTGATTATCCCTCCATCAAGCTGGTTTTTCAAAAGGAAACCTTTGCTTGGAAAAACACACTGGATGAAACAAAATAAAAAATGACTAAAATGGGCTTAAAAATTAAAACTGAAATAGAGAACAAATTTAAAAAAACACTGAATGTCGATATGATTTTGTGATGATTACAGTTCTTATTATGTAATTAATGCACTTGTAATGCTAGACAAAGACCTGTGAGCATTATGGCTCTCAATTCAAATTTCACTGACAAAGCCTCTTATAAATATAAGTTATTAAGTATACATAAGTATACATTTTTATGAAATAAATAAAAAATCCTCACCACGTGCCTCTGAGACTTTTTTGGTCAATGAGTCTCAGTAGCAGAAATATTAAGAAATTTGTTGTGACCTTGAACCTTTAAGATCAGAAAAAAGGAAATATAGCAGCCAGGTTTTAACGTTTACTGTTTTGCGTTACAGTGGAAATCCCACTCTATGTCTTTCTCTCACCTTCAGTTTCTCCCCCCCCCCTCTGTCTCTCAGAAGGGGGAGGAAATTCCTGGCGAGGGTGCTGAGAGTTGTTGCTCTGCGCCTGCAGGTACAAACCGGCCTCCTCTGTCTGCCTGTCTGCAGATATCATACCGCGACGTGATCTGTTTAGCTGCCTGACTTAATGCTCGTGTGCCTCCGGCTGTGTGTGTGTGTGTGTGTGTGTNTGTGTGTGTGTGTGTGTGTGTGTGTGTGTGTGTGTGTGTGTGTGTGTGTGTGTGTGTGTGTGTGTGTGTTTTGACTTCTTCCATCTTCTCACAGCTGGAATGGCGTCGCCCACTTAATCTGCTGCCCTGCGATTACAGACACACACACAGAAAGATAGACAGACTTTTACTACACTGATATTTACACATTGAAACACTGTTAATCTTCTACTACACAATGTGAAGTTAACAAGAAATTACACACACACACACACATGCAGTGGCAAGATGGTTTAGGGACAATGGGGTTGATAACACTGTGGTGCATGCAGTGAAAAACTGACACAAAACATCTGAATACTTTATGAATTTATCAAAACTAACAATTCTGCTGCTCAGGACATGTCCATTTAAAATGTTTCGATGTGTTCAGGGTCTGTACATCTCACACAGAAGAGCAAGAGGTTAAATCCCCTCAGGATTCTCCCTCATCTGTTCCTATGTTATATACTTTTCATTTTTTATCCTCAGGTTGTCAGGGCGCTGACTGATACAGGCTGACATGTACGACCACGCTCACCAGAACACAAACAGACACACTTGAGTAGGGGTCTGAGTCCAGCTGGAGGTGGTCTCCTGCCAAACATGCAGGCAGGTTGCCTGTATTCATAATCATCACACACGCGCTGATTGGAACTGACAGCACACACACACACACACGCAGACACAGTTGGAGAAAAAAATCCACTCGTGAGTAAATCAATATTTCAAGGGCAACCTGCTGTTCTAAAAAATTTATGAGGAGGAACTATTTTGCCTCCTCTGATGCATTATTCTGTCTCTGACTTCCTTTTCTGTCATTTCATCCACCGCCACGACCACATCCACACTGAACATTAAAAAAACAGAGAGGGAGAGCCGTTGAGAAAAGAAAAATAGAGGTGGATGTGGACGAGGAGACATCCACAACTGATGTAGACCAGCAGCGGTGAGCGATGTCGTGAGAGAGGAGCAGACTGGCGAGAAAAAGAGAGAAGTGAATAATGGCCAGTGGGCTGAGAGAGCGACAAGGAGCGAGAGAGATGGAGGAAGAGAACATCCCTCTCTCTCTCTCTCTCACACACACGTACACACACAAAACAGAGAGAGACTCCGCAGGGCGCCATATAACAACCTTCCTTGTCATTATCATCGCCCAGCCAAAACCGCTCCTCCTCCACCTCCTGTCTTCAACACAATCATTGCCCTATCGTTTACAGTGTGCTGCTAAATGAGAACATCGATAGACACATCCATTAGCAGCGCGAGTCCTTCGTCTCTGATTCTCAAGTGCTTTTACAGCCAACGCACGCTGCACCTCAGCCGACTGTTAACCAAGCTAGCCACGCGCAGGCAAACGCCAAACTGATGGAGTGTGTCATTACAGCTGGTTAGCAACACGCTCGCTGCAAGGGTGGTCCCATCAGTTAACCTGCAGCTACAAACCAAGACGATGGGGCTGCGCTCTGATTGAAGTAGCTTTCCTGCGAGCAGCGCTCCTAGAATTTCTCCTCTGGATTTATATATTTATTCCTTTGTTTTTCGCCCCATGTCTTCGATGCTGTAAACTGTCACGGTGTCATTTATTTGTATGATACAAATCTATCGCAACATTTTTTTCACTGCAGGATTTCCTTTTCTTCCCAGTTTCTTTTTTACTGCAAAGCAATATGCTCTTAAGGCATCAGGAATCCAAATCTGAAAGGTGCATAAGATAAATATGATAGTGTTGTCATCCTGGGTGACAGTAGCCACACTCACAGGTATTTATTGGCTATTTTAAAAAAAACATATAAATAAAAATATGAAGTTTTATGTCAAAGAGCAGGATCAATACAAAGACACTAATCATATTTATGATGGTATTAATACTTTGTAAATCTAAATTTGAACCATCGTTACTGTAGCTGTACACAAGCAGCTGTTTGACAGTTGCGAAGTTCATAATAAATGCACAGAGGCAGATTGAGAAGAAGGGCAGATCAAATGGAGGGAAGGGTTTCCCACCATGCCGCCCAATACACTGTAATTTCAGCTCACATTGTTTTTTAGAGGAAGGGAGGGAGGGAGGACGCTGGGAGCGGCACTGGGTGAGTAAGAGAGGGGAGTGAGGTTGTTGGGGTTTGTGGGAAATGTGGTGCAGCTGCTGAAGTTGACTTATGAACATTGGTTTTGACTGATGGAGACAGAAAAGAAAATGGGGTAGGTTTTTGTGCACACAAACACACACACAGACAGACACTATAAATGGCATGCATGCCTGCAGACAGTTACTCCTGATGTAAAATGACACTGGAAATTAAGGTTTGTAACAAAATTGAGGCTTTGATGATTGTAGGCAACATTATTTTTTCAGATCATTAAACTGTCATTCAATTAATCAGATAATCTGAGATTGAGATTGTTTTCTCACATTCACACACACACACACACACATTTTTCACTCCTGACTCGGTGGTCTCTGATTCTTACCGTAACAGTCATAGGTGTGTGTGGCAGGCTGGTGGTAGACCGCAGACAGACTCTAGGTGCCGCGTGTGTGTGTGCGCGTGCCTCCTTCATGTCTGGACCTGGGCAGAAACAAACAGGAAAAAAAAGCAAAAGATAAATTCAGGTGTTGTTTGGTAAACCTTGTTATTAACAAGTCATACACACACACACACACACACACAGAGACACACAGTGATTTAGAAAGAAGCAAATGAATGTACACTCTAAAACACACACACAACTGTGTGACTAAAAAAGTTTATGAGTTTATGACAGTGAATGTGTCTTAAATGATTCACCAACACACTAATATGTGTGGGAGTGTTAAATACCATATGTCTGCAGTTCATCTTCTCTAAAGGACTCACACACACGATTTTATATGTACAACCAGCCCACTCACAACCCAATTCGTATGAACACTACGTGTGGTCCTGAGAAACAATGACAAGCAGCCGTTAACAGCGTGTGTACATTAACACAAGAATCATCTTTAAATAAAATACAAAAAGAAAAAGGTGGTTGGATGAGAACAATACTGTGATGCCTCGAGAAGAAGACGCTCACACAAACATTTTGAATCAGACACTTTTCAGTCTCTAAAATCAGATAAAAATAAAAGAACACGCTGGTGGTTTTGAGATGCGATGGCCATCGTGTCTATTCTTATAAAGCAGTAATGTTGCTGATGCACTTTCTTGTGGTGCCTTAAACACAACAAAGAATTGAAGCATGATGGCGTCACAGGGCTGTTATGTATTATATAGAGCTGGGTGTCTGACATGCCCGCAGTGTGATGAGGCTGGGAGGGAGCGATGTGCGCTGAGACAGAATGAATTATCAAAAAGAATTTCTGAGTACAACATCTTAGGTTGACCAGATGGAGAGGGAGAGAAAAAATATGAGTACAACCTGGAGACGCAGTGTGGGGGCGAGTGATGTAGCCTTCCTAGTATTTAACTAAACCTATTCATAATTTAATGTGTTTGGGGAAAAAAGAGACATTGGATGTGAGAATTTATCAAACACGGACAGTGTTCAGCTTTTTTCAACAAGATACAAACTGAAAATATTCTGTGTTACTATCATTCTCTACACGAGCTGCACAGAGGAAGAGTGAACTACAGCTAATTACTCGTCTGTAAATTAATCATTTTATAGTTTGGGCTGTAAAAAGACAGAATATGGTGAAAAATTATATTCTTTTGCTGCATCAAAAAAAATCATCTTTTTTTAGACACTTAAGCTGCGTGAATAATTTCTTTGAGCTTGCTGCTGTTTGTAGATTTAAAAAGTTCCTCAGAGTCATTTAAAGTATTTCTTCTTTGGTTTAAGAGTGTCATGGCTTAATAAACACATGGAGAGGTCTAAATGTGCAGTGTGAGTACAGTGTGTCCTAGCTAGTTTCATTTGTACCACCGCCAAGGAGGTTTTGACCCCTGTCTGTTTGTTGTTTGTTCATTTTTGTGTTTGTGAGCAAGTTAACACAGAAACTACTGGACTGAATGCCATGAAACCTGATTGAAGGAAGCTGGATAGTGTGAGGATGAAATTTTGGTGTTGATCTTTATTACGAGGTGGATCCAGGATTTATTTTTTTAAATGTGTTTAACAAGAGTTCACATTTTTGGATGTTTTTGATTTTTTCTATGAAAAAATCTAATGGATCTACTTGAGAAAAACAAAATCAGACATATTTTGGGTAATTCGATGCAGTCTGGTTGAATTTAATTGGACTGTTGGGCTTTGGTGGAGGTCTGTGTTCCGCTGAGTTTCTTCTTTGGTTGCAGAACCATTTGTTCCTGAGCAAACCTAATCATGTCACGGGTTAATTAAGATATGTAGCTGTCTAACTCTGCAAAGAATATGACCTAACCCATTTTAGTTTATGTAAACATCACCAGTTTTGGACCTTAAGTCTGAAACAGAAGCCGGCTCCCAATCCTAAACTACAAATCTGTGTTGAGAGCCTGAGGTTTAAACTTGACGTTTTATTACATGTGGCAGTATTACATATTCTAAACTCACCACAATTTGACCTTTTGGCCTTTTTCCTTCATATTGTAAGTGAGTAGTCTAGACAACTCTAATGAAAGCCATGCTGGAAAAACAAAACCCCAGCTGTAATTAATGAACCCAACAGTTCACACATACAATATGAAAACCTGGTTACAAATGAAAACACATAAGAGAGAAAGAAATAAAAAAGGCTGCTGAAAGGTGGCTCTCTTAAATAAGACTTTCCAGTGAAATGTGGTTCTTGTGAATTCCTCTCTGCCGGATCTCCATCCACACACACAGAACAATGATTGACCTTGGCCGGATGAAAAATTGCCTCAATTGTTCACACTTCGCTTTGATGTTAAATACAGTTACGCAGGGCGGCACAGGAAAGCTGCTGAAGGAGAAATTAAACCCTTTTTATGCTGCCTGTAAGAAATGGCCCCCTCGTTTCTTTTTCCAAATGCACCCTTTGTTCAATTCACTGCATCTGCCAGAATACATACATGCAAGTCACTATTTCTGTCCTGCAGAGCTAATAAGTCCTTCAGTTACTGCTCTTCTCCATGGTACATCCCCTCATACATTCACTATGTTTTCCGAAACCACTTCCTACATCAATCCCCCCACCCCCAAACTCTCCACTTCTACCTCATTGTCCTTTCTCTCTCTCTCTCTCTCTCTCGCATCCCTCGCTCTGCTCCAGTAAGCAGACTTGCCGAGACCAGGGAGGGCACCTCCGTCATTCAGGTCCCGGCACGGAGTCACCAATTTATACTCTCATTAACGGATCCATGTGCTGCTCAGTACATTACAAAAAGAAAAGAAAAAAAAAGCCCTGGGACCACCCATGTTTTTAGGCCCCTTCAAAACAAAATGCAACAATAAAGATCTGTGTTCCCTCTGCCAGCTAAATGAGCCAATTCACGCGAAAGGGGGAGAAAAAAAAAAGAAAGGTTCCAAATTAACAGACGTTTTGATGCTACACAGAGTGTGTATGTGTTAACGAGAAGATGCTATTAATCAGGACTGAATGCTTGAAAGGTCCTTGTTATCAGATCGACTGGCCTTGCAGGTTTTGTTCTTTTTTTCCACAAAGTGAAGGAAGCTGTGTGTAAATGACAAAAAAAGACAATTGGACGTGTTAAAACGTTTATATTGACTCCTACCGCATAAGACTAACTGATAAGAGAATGTGGAATCCTGCAACTCCAGATTCTTTCCATCGAAACTGAACCGATCTTCAAATGTGTTCATTTCATGGGAGGGATTTAGTTTGAGAGCAGCACGTCTGAAGTGGAACAGCAGTCACAAGGTGCTAAATCCTTATTTCTAGTGACCCGGGGGATATTTTTCTTCCTGCAGAGAGTGACAGAGAGGCTACAGGGTCGAGCAAATACCCCCCCGCTACAAGTTATTAATGAACATACCTCCTCGCTGTTGAAAGCAAACTCTGTACTTGTGGCCCTGCGTAGCTCAGTGGGGAGAAAACAACACAAACATTGCATAAGTGAAGAGTTCAGCTCTCTGGGCCACCCAGGGTTGAAATACACTCGAATGACTAAGAGATTTTGACTGTTTAGGGAAAAATCCTGGAGTTTTGTGTCGGGTTCTTTGAGCAAAATAGGCAAACACAGAAAATATATATTTAAAAGCACAGACAAGCACTTATGGTATTCATATATATATATATATTTAATTTTTTGGTGATTATCTAGCTTCTTTTCAATGTTCAAATAAAAGCTTGGGTAAAAATGTTTAACACAAGGCTGAAGTTGGTTCTGTGAAAACGCACAGGGCACAGACTCACAGTCGTTCTTTGTGAAATAACGCCGTCATTTACTAATGCACCTCCATGAATGTCAGGTATGTCTGCCAAACTGTTTTAATAATATCTTTATTATTAATTCACCCTGTCCAGAGAACCGGCATGGGGACCAGGCCAGGAAACTAGTGTCATGGCTGTTTTACTTCTGTGGTCTTTATTTCGGAGCACATTATAGAATATGCTGATCTCTGTGCTTTGTCAGAATGTGCTCCCACCATATTATGCCTGTTTATAATAAAACCAGTGCAGACATGTAGAGCTAGACCACCCAGAGCCGTCACCCGTACACTCTCCTTAAAGAAAAGTCACGAGTCTTAATTATATCCATCCTCTGGGCGTGTCCTTCTGCTCAAAACAGACATCTGAGCCGACCCCCCGCCCGCCCCACCACCAACATGCCGCAAACCTCACTGAAGCTGCATGGAAAGAACTTTTTTGGGCAAACACGTCAACCTTAGATGGAAATAAACCTATTCAGCACAGCGCAAAGTTGTTTTTACTGAGGTTACCGAAGCTAATCTGATTTTACGTTGTTCATTGTTGGATTATCTCCTCCTGTACCCTTGAACTCGTAAATGATCCCAGACATTAAAAAAAGAAGAAAAAAAGTGCCTGTCGAGGTTCTTTTGATGGCGAGATCCACAGGATGTGAAAATCAAGTGGGTGAATTGTTTACCATATCAAAAGAGGTGCGATGAAACAGTAATATCAAAACCTGCACTTAGATGAAAGGATGGAAACGACAAGACAGCGCGCGCACACACACACACACACACACACACACACACACACACACACACACACACACACACACACATGTCCACACACACACACACACACACATCTGTGCACTGTAATAAGGAGGCATGTGCTCCAGGGAGGAGGATGTTGTGACTGCATTGTTCTTTTTCATGATCTATAATTTTCAAGCCGCCAATGTGAGGGAGCAGCCTACTGGTCTACACTCACAGCAGAGACAGAGACATGAAGGCAGAAGGAGAAAGAGAGAGAGAGAGAGAGTGAAGTGAGTCTCAGCACAGGCAGGACCCCAGCGACTACCTGCCATACAAATCCTCCTCAGGCTTTGATCCACTGCCCACTTCTCTCTCGCTGGGTTTTTCTTTTTTCTGTTTTCAAGCAGGGCAACTATGATGTTTAGCCGAAGCGCAGTGAGATTCCGAGCCCGCAAAGTAATAAAAGAAGGAACTAAAAAATCTGCTACCAAGTTGAAACGGAAATGCTAAAAAAAAT